CTGTCTTTAGTGGTCATCAATCTTTAACCTTATTGATATCAGTATATGTGGTAATGTTCGTGTTTCAGCAATCTTGTTTCTTTGGACGAATGTAACAGATTAACGATTGATTGGGTAGAGGAGATTGGGGGTGGGGGGTGGGGGCGGGGTGGAGTTTCAGGCAAGAAAACTCTTGTACACTCCGTATCGGTCTGAAGTAGGTCATGTTCTATGCCTTAGAAAAACTCACGAGAAATTCAGCTTCAGTAGACCTGACCGGGTCATTATCGATTTTACTGGTTCCCTGTTTTAGAACTACTTATGACCACGACCTGTTCAGATTACTACTCATTGTCGATTTATACAAAATTGTTTAATGTTCACTTTCATGTCGTCACTCATTGCCGCTATCTCTAATTCTCCAGTGTTAATTTAATGGCACTTTCTGGAAAACATTATTTTCTGTTATACCCCTAGTTCTTGAATGTTCTCATCGTCTGTTTAGATTTACAGATTTTCCCGTTTCTTCAACACTTATTACCGAAATATCTATTTCTCAAATATCCAATTTAAGACTCATTCAGGAAAGCACCCGATGATATTATCTCTAATTCTTCAACATTTCATGTTTGAGTTTTCAGGTTAACACATCACTGTAATCTCTAAACATTCCGGGCTCTGATTGTTCTTGTTGTTGACTTATAGTGGTTCTACCGTATGTACACTTTGCATCTCCCAGCTAACCGGCTCGCCAGCGTAGTTGGTTACAGCTGACTTCGCGGCGGCCGGGTGACGAACTCCTTGTGGTCCGGGTTCACTCCCGGGGGTAGGCAGAAAAGCCACATTTCTCCCAGATTTACGGTATCTATCATGGAATCAACGCCGAAGTGTTGCGATATCCATAGTACCGAACCAAAGGGTTAACAACTCATGGTTTCTGGATACTTAAAAAAAAATATCATTTCTTCAGTTAGCACTTTTATTTGGTTCATTAATTTTCCTCCCATTCCTCTACTTCGGCGTCCGTGTCTTAAGGGTTATGAAAGCAGTTTATATTTCTGACATAATAGAGTGGATTCAGCTGCAGATAATTTGCAAAACTATTTTCGTTGATTTCGAACGCAGTAGAAGCGTCACTTCTTTCAGAAAGCAATGGCAAACTGCAAAACAACAAATCCTTCCGAAAGCAATGGCAAACTGCAAAACAAAGAATGGACTGATAAAACCTAGCCAGACAACAACATGCTAGAAATAAGTTGCGGTGTTTTGTCAAGGATTTACCTCCTCTGCTTCTTTGTTTACTGGCTGTAAGTTCCGGTGGAAAGTTCTGGTTGTTCGTCCATTTGGACTTCACCTGTGTGCCACGGCCTAAGATTTTGCGTGTACATCCGTTTTACTGGCTCATTTGTGTGCAGTTGGTTGCTCTTGCCGCTGGGACACATGCACTCCGACTTCTAAGGAAGCTCCCAGTTTGTCGACTCTCACGACATGCTTGTTGGGGAGGCAGTGGGTTGGTTCTTGTTTTGCTACAAAGTTGGGTCTCTGTCATGTTGACATCACGCCCTTCTGTATTTATAGAGTCGGCTGTGGTTAACATCAAAAGTTATGCAATGACCTTCACCTTCCGCAATGTTTCCCCTGCAAGAATATTTCCATAAATTATCAGGTCATACTTTTCCGAGGCACTGGGTTGACCTCTGGGGGTCGTAATTAATTACCAAACTAGGGGTTATGCCAGTACGATTGTATAAGTAGGCCCGTGAATTAGGGCTGCCGAGTCATCGGCGATCGGGTCGCCTATTGGCTGGCCAGCAGACGACTTCATCGTCGGTCGAGACAGTATTTGGGTCTGTCTCCCCCCCCCCACAAAACACGACAAGAGGGGTATGGATGCGACAGGTACGAGTTTTGGTATGGTAACTAATTTTCCGCGTGTGGATTCTGGGACCCCATTTTGGGGAGATCAAGAATAGAATCCCTGCCCCTCTGAAAAGTTTGTTGTCAAAGTTTACTAATTAGGGATGTTTCGTTTGTAGTCAGAGTGCATCTACATGAGAGGTAAGGAACCAACTCTCTATTAACGAATAAGACAGATCTGTAAAACTGAGGTTCACGCATAGCTCAAGTTCTGGAACAAAACCAAAATCCAGAAGTGGACGAACAATCAGAACTTTCCGCCGGAGTTAAATGCCGGTGAACGAGAAGAAAAAGAAAAAAAAAAGATTCTTATGTTGTCTAACGTATTATCCTGTCTCTACACCTTTCTGTGAATGCAAATCAACACATGTTGATTTCGTATCTCGCTTATGCTAACGACAGCTATTTGCTTTAACTCTTTAAAACGAGCGCTTTATGGCTGTTTCCTTAAGGGGGAAAAAAAGGATGGAAGGAAAATGTAGTTAAGTTGACCAAACATTTTATAACAACAGCATCTGACTTTCATTCATAGGTTCTTTCACTAGAATCTTTTCGATGTTAAATTTGGTTTCTATGGGTACAATTATTTAGTGTGTAACTATACATGGTAACTATACATGCTTATGAAACAATAGGCCAAGGCCTGCAATAGGGTGCGCGCGCGCACACTCAGAGAGGAAGAAAGACACACACGCATACTGAGAGACGATTGAAGAATTTGTCCTAGGTACTCTCTGTTTCTGTGTTGTCGACGAAAGTACTTTCTTATTGTCTTGTATTTTCTCCACAACCCTTTTCATTCCTTTCCCTTTATTGTTTTTGGAACGTTCTTATTCCAGTGTGGTCTTCCAGCAGTAGTGTTAATACTTAAAGTAGTTAAAATTACACTGTATAACAGTGCGAAAACAGGTGCGTCTCATGACAGCAGCAAATTTCAAAGGAACGAGACTGAAATAAAAAAAAAATATTAAAAACGGGATTGGACAGTTTGATAAAGCAGGCATAGAAAGATACCAGGGGTATCAGACAAAAAAACACCTATTCGCCAATCGAAAACAGAAGCCAGTAGGCCGACGGGACACTGCCCTTCGGGCAAACTATTGAACTTAAAATAGGCTAGTTAAAAAAATACAGCCAAAAAATGCTGAAGATGGTTCCCCAAAGTCCTGTAAAGGATATACTTAAAAAGTGAAGTATCCTTATTCAAGCCTTCAGACGTAATAGGCATATGGGCTGAGGCCTATATTTATAGACCAATCGGTACTCGGTGGGTGACGTCGTCAGCATCACGCCGGCGGCCTTTACTTTCCACTACTGTACTTAGCACCCATTTAAGGTTGGATCGACCTGGGAGCCAAGGTCAGTTTTGAAAAAAAAATTGTCTGGTTCCATCAGGACCCAAACCCACGACCTTACATCGGCAGGCGCCATCTAACCGCTACATCACGGCGGCCGCCCTGTGAAGATCTATGAAGCAACTCATCATCATCAGGTGCCTTGCCGACTGGCGTGGGCGATCATGCCTCTCCATAATCCACGATCTCCTGCAACATGTATCAGTTCGTGTGCCGACACACCTCCATGCCATGCAACAAGACTGTCAAGCATCTTCTCTCGTTGTCTTCCTCTATCCCTCCTTCCACAGATCTTTCCAGTGGTCACAACATGTTCTATTTTCCCTCTTCTCATAACATGGCCGAAAAATGATGACTGTCTCCTTCTGATGTCAGTGATAAGTTGTCTTCGGGCTCCTGCCTCTTTTAAAACCTCTAATTATTATAATTATTATAACAACTAATTATTATAAATAAGGCAAGAGGATCACATTTGTGGAAGGACATGGTCGACCCGATCCCCTTCCCTTTAGGTAATATTTGGTAAGAAGTGGTTAATTAGGGGTTAGCTGCAATCCAGTGAAGTTAGGCAGAAGGGTCCGGATATTGCAGCCCAGCTGTGGAAAAACTAACAATAGGTCGAATGAAGAAGAGGGAGGAGGAGGAGAAGAAGAAGAAGAAGAAGAAGAAGAAGAAGAAGAAGAAGAAGAAGAAGAAGAAGAAGAAGCAACATATTGGGAAATAAGAAGGCATGGTGGTGGTCAGGAAATGGCTTTAGTAAATAACAAAGCAAGCAAAAATTGTTGCTTGCTTGCTTGTTTTTCCCCACCAGGACATCACACAACCGATAAACACCCGGTGACACAAAGTGCCGCCATGCGGATGAGGATCACCCGTGGAGATTTCCTAGAAACTCGTTTCAGCCGTTATGACCACAATTGTGGCCCAGCTATATTCAGGACCCCCGGCAAAGCCAGGGTGGAGCTTCAAAAAATGAAAAATTGCATCCCACAAGGAGACGGCTATTACTATAAGTAAAGAATTGTTTTGTCTTCGTGTACGATATATTACTGTTAGGGGGCAGTGAGACATGGTGTTTGTATATAATAAAACACGTAAAATAATGCTTTACTTGTATCTTATGCATATTTTGCTAACGTAGCTGAATTTAAAATAATATGGCCAATTTTCTTTTTGACGGATTTTATTGTTTTTAAAATTGGACTAAACGATGCTACTAACTTTCGTTTTCCCTAAGTCGATAACTCGTAAATAGGAATATGACCATATATTTACTGGTTCGTTTCCCCTCGCCTCTCTTAGGCCTGCTGTCGTCTCTGTCAACAGGAGGCTGGTTTGGTCGATAGGCAGCTTCTTTTGTCTTTTATAAATGACTGCGTGTTATTTGTTCACGCCTTGTTAGCTTCTTTGTAGTGAGGTTGTTCTGTCGAAGCCAAAAAAGGTCGATGGATCGCCACTCTCTCTCTCTCTCTCTCTCTCTCTCTCTCTCTCTCTCTCTCTCTCTCTCTCTGTGTGTGTGTGTCACTGGCTGCATACACATGTACCAATCTTTGGCCAGACTTTTAGTTTCCGCTAGATTTCTTCCTGTTCAGTTCTAAATATTATCTGTTCAACACGTTGGTCTTTCTCTTTGCCTATTTCCTGGAGTTGCTCATGTCTGTATTTTAATATTGAGCAATCATTTTAACTCTTCCCATACCAGGCAATTTAACAAAATGCCAAGGGCCGTGTTGAGTGGAAGGGGACAAATCAGGCAAGGATATGAATAAAGGGAAAACGAAATAATTGCAGAAAGGTTGAGAGCTGAGTGTCTGAGAGCTGAGTGTCTGGGAGCTGAGTGTCTGAGAGCTGAGTGTCTGAGAGCTGAGTGTCTGAGAGCTGAGTGTCTGAGAGCTGAGTGTCTGAGAGCTGAGTGTCTGAGAGCTGAGTGTCTGAGAGCTGAGTGTCTGAGAGCTGAGTGTCTGAGAGCTGAGTGTCTAAGAGCTGAGTTTATGAGAGCTGGGTGTCTGAGAGCTGAGTGTCTGAGAGCTGAGTGTCTGAGAGCTGAGTGTCTGAGAGGAAGCACATTAAACACATGTGACGACTACAACAATCCTGATATCCCATACTCTAATTGTCGCAAGCTAGCTTGGTCTGGGCACGTGGTGAGACATGATTGGATCGCAAAGACTGTACCCCAAGGAACATTGGGGAAGGAGGGTGGGGGTGAGGTGGGAGGGGGGGGGGGTAGTCGAAGAAAAGGAGGGCAAAGAAGAATCTGGAATGACAAAATCAAGAAATGTACCGGACTTAGTTATCATACACTTATTCATCAAGCGGAAGTCAGAGAAAGATGGCGGGTTTTGTGTGATAGTGCTTCCATCTATACACATCCCCGACCGAGACACCTCCACGACCCTAACAGGTCAGAGGTTATGTTATGTTATGTTAACTGTTGTAGACTTTTCTTAATGTGGACAGTTCTGGCTAATCGCAGTCGCAGTCGCCTTGGCCGAGATTCTCATGCCTCCTCATAGCACAATATAGCACTGTAAAGACGGACAGAGGGAAAAAAAAGGTGTCAGCATCACAAGCAATTTGCATTCATTGGTTAGCCCAGACACCGTAGTTCTCTCTAACAAGTTTATTTTAACCCAACAGTTATTACTACACGCCGGCTGCCTTTACTTCCAAGGACATGACCTAGTACCCATTTTAGGCTAGGTCGAAATTGGAGCCAAGGTCATTTTGACCCCAAAAAATCTGTTACGATGTGGATTTGAACCTCAGATGTTCAGGCTGGAAGGTGAGAGTCTAGCAACTACGTCAGAATAATGTTTGGTCGAAGGGATCTTAAGTCTCCCCTAAATACATTTTAACTGTTGTTAGGTCCTTAGGTCTTCGCTAAATAATTTCTGGCTGCGGTGTGTGTGTGTGTGTGTGTGGGGGGGGGGGATGGGGTGGTCTGAGGCCGTATCTAAATAATTTTTGGTCGGGGTGGGGGGAATCTTAGACTTCCCCTAAATAATTTTTGGCTGGGTGGGGAATGGGGGAGGGCTCTCAAGTTGCCTGAGCACCCAGCTCCGACATCCCTAGTATCTGGGGCCTGTATTGTTGCATGATGTTTCTGTTACCTGCTTATTTTAAATTCAAGAACTTGTTTTCCTTCTTGTGTCGTCTGTATGCGCTGCGTCTTCATCTTCAGTAGCCGCGAAGAGTTCCAATTCCTGTAGTACCAGCAGCATATGTCCGTCCGGCGGCCAGATACCCTGGTTACTCCTCTTTTGCACGATTCTCTCCCCCTGTAATGATCTTCTTCTTCTTCTTCTTCTTCTTCTTCTTCTTCTTCTTCTTCTTCTTCTTCTTCTTCTTCTTTTTTTTTTTCTTCTTCTTTCGTTCGCCTGAAATAAGTTGTCTATATCAGCAGTTTTGTCTCTGGAGTATATGCTCTGCTGTCTGTGGCACCTTTCCACAGGTGCACATGGCTGATACGTCTATCTTGAATTTTGTGTGCATGTGGTTACGTAATCAGTTGTGCCCTGTTCTGTGTACATGTGGTTACGTAATCAGTTGTGCCCTGTTCTGTGTACATGTGGTTACGTAATCAGTTGTGCCCTGTTCTGAGGCGGAGGATAATGACTTGCTCTAAACTAATAATCTATTCGTGCTTCTGCATTGTTCCTTCACCGAATTTAAAATATGGCAGTTTTTGAATAAAATAATTCCTAATGTCACTTTAACCCAGTTCTCTATAACGCTACCTGACTGATAAGCAGGCATTTTGTGCCTCAAATATCCAACAGAAACAAACTCAATGTTCAGCCAGTTATTGTCACTGTCACAGCTGTGGATGGAGAAAATATCTCGGAGACACAGACTTGCTTGTTAAAATTCTCCAGATCTGAAATCAGCCCAAGGAACTTCGCTTCTAGCATTAGTAAGCTGTTGTTTCATAACTTCGAAAATAATTAAAGCAGATTTTATATAAAATGAACGGGCGGATTCACGAGATAGGATGGCTATTTCAGATAAAAGAAGTGGCTATATTAGACATAAACAAATACCGATTTGTTCAGAATTGCAGATGAGATGTTTGTGGATATTATCGCTGAAGGAGCCAGTCTTCTTCTTTTTCTCTTCTTCTTCTTCTTCTTTCTTCTTCTTCTTCTTCTTCTTCTTCTTCTTCTTCTTCTTCTTCTTCTTCTTCTTCTTCTTCTTCTTCTTCTTCTTCTTCTTCTTCTTTTTCTTCTTCTTCTTCTTCTTCCTTCTTCTTCTTCTTCTTCTTCTTTTTTTTTCTTCTTCTTCTTCTTCTTCTTCTTCTTCTTCTTCTTCTTCTTCTTCTTCTTCTTCTTCTTCTTCTTTCTTCTTCTTCTTCTTCTTCTTCTTCTTCTTTCTTCTTCTTCTTCCTTCTTCTTCTTCTTCTTCTTCTTCTTTCTTCTTCTTTTCTTCTTCTTCTTCTTCTTCTTCTTCTTCTTCTTCTTCTTCTTCTTCTTCTTCTTCTTCTTCTTCTTCTTCTTCTTCTTCTTCTCTCTTCTTCCTCCTTCTTCTTCTCCTTCTTCCTCTTCTCCTTTCTCTCTTGAATGCTTCTTCTTCGCAGGAAGAGATCTTCTTCTTTCTTCTTCTTCTTCTTCTGTTCTTCTTCTTCTTTCTTCTTCTTCTTCTTCTTCTTCTTCTTCTTCTTCTTCTTCTTCTTCTTCTTCTTCTTCTTCTTCTTCTTCTTCTTCTTCTTCTTCTTCTTCTTCTTCTTCTTCTTCTTCTTCTTCTTCTTCTTCGTCTTCGTCTTCGTCTTCGTCTTCTTCTTCTTCTTCTTCTTCTTCTTCTTCTTCTTCTTCTTCTTCTTCTTCTTCTTCTTCTTCCTTCTTCTACTTCTTCTTCTTCTTCTTCTTCTTCTTCTTCTTCTTCTTCTTCTTCTTCTTCTTCTTCTTCTTCTTCGTTTCTTCCTCCTCCTCTTCTTCCTCCTCCTCCTCTTTGAATGCCTCGCAGGAAGAGATCTCTGGAAGGAGTCTTTCTGTTCGCTTCCTATTAAATACCTTTCAGTGTCTCTGATATTTTTGCGGTCCACTTCTACATAGTCGACCTCTAGGCCTGTAACCGTTGTATCTGTATAACATTGCTCTCTATGGTGCCCTGTCTGATGCCAGTCTCTGTTAGGGCTTGATAAGGTATAATATACAGATAGCAGATATCAGGATTCGGAAGCAACAGAGATGTGGTTTCTGAGACGAATGTTACGAATACCTTGGACGGCTAGAATAACTAACAACGATTGTTTGAAAGAAGCTAGTGAAAGTAGATCTCTGTATACAACAATAAGAAAGAGACAGACACTGTTCTTTGGCCACGATAATGAGAAGAGAGGCATTGGAAATCATTGTGACAATTGGAAAGATCAGTGGAAATACGGGTAGAGGCAGACCAAGATATATGATGCTGGATGGGCTGAAACGATGACATGGAGGGATATCAGCAAGAGAGCTGCTCCAGGCAACCAGCGATCTTGATCTGTGGAGAGATGCATGAGCGCCTACGCCACCTGGCAAGGCACATTCAAGTAACAGCTTGCAAACAATCAGTTAACGTAACAATTACTTTAGACAGAACAAAATTTCCAGGTATAAAGTAATCAATAAAAGCCTGGGGTGTTCTCTCGAACTAAAAGAGTACATAGAGCTAGGTCAATACCAGATAAATATTGTTCATTTAAAAAAAAAAAAAAAAAAAAAAAGAAAGAAAACAATCAAGCCTTGCTCATTTGGGGTTTTAAAATGGACAACTTTCTTGGTAAGAAATGGCGTTAGCTCCTAAATGTAGACTTGATCGTCACTATCATAATCACATCATCATCATGTGCTGTGCCAGTAAGCATGGGATGTCATGTTTCGCCGTCTAAAATGATCACCAGATCACAGATGGCTAAGCCATCCAAACATTTATCTCTCTGCCTTCCCTTTGATATTTTGCCACCAATCCCGCCACTTGAAGCCAAATTCTCGAGTTAATTTTTCTAATAATACATGTGTTCAGAATACACCATCAACGTTTAATGTCTCAAATCAGTTTGCCGTTTTCATCTATCGCCAGGAGGACTGTTCGATTTTTGTTTTTCAATCATTCGTCGGTATTCTTTGCAGTCTTCTAAACTACATCTCCGCTCCTAGTAAATCTCGTTCAGCTTATCTGTTTATTGTCCGTTCTCACATAAATATAACAGCACAGATTCTTTATAGCATTTTAACACTCTTGTTCTCACGCCAGCCTATTTACACCGTGATACGGTAGCGAATAGGGCAAAGAAACTGATCAATAAAAAAAAATATTTTCCTGTTATGGTTTGAAATACTATAACACAAAACAGTATGCTAAAAAATTGATTGCCTGTCAAACTTCACAGTTTTTCGCCAGGGACTTAAGAGTTAACTTCCACGTGTAATAAAGCACAAAACGAATCCTTTCGACTAGAATAAACAAATCACATTGTCTGTAGTTACAGTGTCTAAGATCATCACAGAAGTCTAGGATTAATCACCGTATGAACAAGGTAGACTATGATTAATAATATGATCTTTTTCTGACATAAAGGGGATTGCTTGTTTTAATTGCAATTACTTCGGCAAAACATACGCACACACTCGCAAAAATAAAAACAATAAAACAGTACATTTAAAAAAAAAACAGTTACATGTTTAAAAATATAATAATAACGTAGAATACAATAAAAAAGAAAGACGGGATGTTAACAGGAAATCTAAACCATGCTACAATGCCTCACGTGACTGCAGTTAGCAGAACCAGATATAGGAAGCTCGATAAAAAAAAAGTTGTAGTTTTATATAGCAGACAGGCGTCTTTGAGTGGAGTCATATCTTGTCAAGACATTCCATGCTGTATAAAGGGTAAGTTATATTGAGTAACGTTGTGTGGCTAGATGCTTTTTTTCTAACTAAAAGGTCGGGCTTGAATCCACTCGAGACTGGATGTTTTTGTGTGTG